ATTTATATAAAAACCTGTCTGAAAATGAGCTGATCACCCCCCCCAGCCTTATCACCTGAATCTCCTCCTAGAGCACCATTGTGTTCTTTTTAACCAAATATCTTTCAGAGGGGTGTGGGGAGGGGCTCCTTATTTTCATCTAAAGTAACAGACAGAGAATCAGCACTTTTGAAACAGGGCTGAAACAGAGGGGATTATGGGATGCTACAATGCATGATATGTTTGGTATTTCGAGCCAAACACTTCAGAGACATGTTTTGTATATATCTGAGACCTATAATATATTATTGATGAAAAACTGTATGATAGGAGACCTTTTAATAAAGCCGTTTATTATAACCATTGTTGTTGAACAGTTCAATGACATTTAATGACTCTTATGAGGTCTCATCTCACCGTGATGTGTAGGAAATCTGCCAAGCAACAGTAGTCAGAAATGCTCTATGCCAGGGGTGTCAAACTCAATTTCAACCCGGGCCACATCAGCATTATGGTTGCACTCAAAAGGGCCGATTTTAACTTTAAGACTATATAAATATAGTTTGGGATTATGGGAAACGGTATTTCGATCTCTCTGTCTGTAGCCTACACACAAACTGAAAGATTGACAATAAAGTTGACTTTGACTTTTTACTTTGATATACATACAAGTCTTTTCACTGCGCATGACACAAAATGAGATGCATTGTGAGACATGTAGTTTATGGGCAACGTGCTTCTGTAAAGCGGCATATAACCATAATAAAAATAGTATATTCTTTTCAAGCTCTTGCGAGCCACATACAATGGAAGTCGCGGGCCGGATTTGGCCCACGGGCCTTGAGTTTGACACATGGCATTTCCCAGCAGGGTCTCCGGTACATCGAGTCCCCCGGAGCGACTGTGCACTTTTTCTCATTCAATTTCAGTCCAGGCGGCACACGATACATTATTGCCACATTTCAAATCATAAGATTAAGATTAAAGACGGATTTTGATGGATTAGTTTCATTCCATGCATGATCGATGAAAAAGGCTATTTAACCTGCCATAAAATCAACTTACAAGGCGAATTTAGAGAGCTCACTGTAGCCCTTAAGGTGTTGGGAAATGTTAGGCTTGCTGCAGCAGCTTAAATTAGGCTGATTTAGCCGGCGGCCGGGCTACTTTACCTGCTTTCTGTGCTCTGTTGGAGCTGCTGCTGATGTTGACAGCATCTTCTGCTTGTGGGCTTGGTTCTATTTTGGTTGGTTATTTTGCATTTAGTATCCAGCTGGTAGGCAGCTAGCATCTGGCTGCATGGGCATATTAGCTCTCCAGCATGCACAGTGCAATTTAATATGCTCACTGACACTGCTAATATTCATCAAGCAATTATCCATGTAACTTATTGACTGAGTAAAAAGTTGTTGTGCTGTTTTAATATCAACATAAAGGTATTACAGTGACTGGACATGATTCATTCTGGCACTGCTGATTTTCCGCTGTATGAATGAGATAAGTGTGTGTGTTTTTGTGTGTGTGTGTTCTGTGCTTCTCTTTGATGAATAGGATAACATTTTGCTGAGCAAACAAGTTATAGCCACTATAGCCTATCACGGACTATGTGTTGCAGTGTTAGTCAATAGAAGCGCGAGTGTTACATAGTGATGTCACTATGTTTAAGAAGTAAACAAAGGAGGCGTTTCAGGCAGGGGGGGGGGAGTGTGTGGGAGAGAAACTCCCTCTGCACAATTACAAAATTGTATACACACTACAGGAAAGGGAAAACCCCAAAAAGATTAATATGGCCCTGTTAATACAAAATGTTGCACATTTATCTTCTGTCACCTATGAAAAAAAAAAAGTCTTTGTTTGTGTATTTCTGTGTCATAGATTGCATGATTAATGTGAGATATCTTTATAAAAGAAAGGTACTTTTTGTGCAGCAAAAAAAGACTTGCCTCTGCGCTTTTTGCAGCTCAGACGAAAAAGGGGTCGCTTGAGTTCTGTCTTGACAGATGTTCACTAAAATACAAAAATTCTTCTGAGCAAGCATTCCCAAAATACTTACATTTGCTGTGTACTTGTATATTTTGGGGCCTTCTCCTATGGCTTGTGAGTTTGCGTGAATCTCACCAAGGTCTTATTTAATTGACTCACAGATATGTTACTAAGTCATCTTGATATGTAAGAGTATGATTAAAAAAAGGAAAATCATCTTCAAATTGTCACGTAGGAGTAGAATATAGTGTTGGTTTTAACAATTGGACTACCGTAAATGATAATTAAGTAAGACATTAATCATCCACCATAATAATCTAACTAAAATAAAAAATAATACATCAAATATAAAACTACATGTAAAAAAACAGTATGTGCAAATTAAACACTACGTGCAATTTTGATCTCATGAAATTACCATTACACACACACACACACACACACACACACACACACACACACACACACACACACACACACACACACACACACACTTTGTATCCCCACAGGTAAATGCCTGGCAGAGATTCAAAGGATAATGAATATTGTTAATAAGATGATAAATAATTCCCATTATTGCTCTGTCTTCTTGATATGTAAAAAGGTGGCTGTTTGCTCATTCTTTAGCCACAACAACTTGATAAGGCAAATTCCGCTTGTGCTGCCATAATAAACTGTTGTTGCCGATAAAATGTCAAAAGCTAAACAATGCTTTTTGTTTAATCTTTTATCTTCATATTGGTGCTGAACGTCACTATCCTTGGTTTGAATAATTCCTAAATCCATTTATGGGTTAGCTTTTTAGCATTTCTGGTTTTCATCGTCTTGAAGTCAAGGGTTTGCGGCGCCGGTGAATGCACAACGAGCAGAATGTACATATATATATTCGCCTCCCAAGACTTTACACATTTCCCCTTTGCTTTTCGTTCGGGTTCGTCTTGCGCTTTATTAGTTGAATCACTTTGAACATTCGTTTGAGATGTTGACGGGTTGGCTAAACGTTTTACCCCACAGTCAAACAACTTACTTTGCTTCGCCATTTTTTGTAAAACAAACACACGGCGCAGGCGCACGCGAGTAAACGTGCATCGCTTTCTGGCTCCGTAATCACACCAATCCACGTGCAACTTAAGTATCAGGTTCCGACTGGTCACAACAATAATTAAATATCACTCTTAATACAACAAATAATTAACATTTATCTATTTTGGGGAACACATTTAGCTGTTTGCTGTCCTTATTTCTTTATGTTAAAAACTGGTTGCCACTGATGGCAACCAAAGGCCAAGAAGTGGTTGACAGTTTTTCTGTATGGTTGACTATGGCAACCTGGCAACCGTTACTGTCGAGCCCTGTTAGATCAGATAAACTCAAAACACATCATCCTATTCACACGGAAGAGAAACCATACTGGTGTGCAGAGTGTGGGGAAACCTTTTCTAGAGGTAGTAATCCATGAGTGCTCACATTGCAGCTCTGAGAGCCAAGCTAGCTGTTTCCTCCTCCTGATGTCCTGAGAGCTGTATTGTTATATGTTAAGAGTCTTTCTAAATGAAAATCTGACCAACAGTTATTACTTTTC